ATATATATATATATATATATATATATATATATATGAAATATTTCTCCGTATAGTTTTCTAGTTATTTATCGCGATAAGAAGTATATATTCATCAAGCGGCACCGCCTACTTCAAAAGCCTACTTTAGCTTTAAACATTCTCAAGATATATACACGGTGGGTTATCATTATGTATAATCATCGTGTAATGATAGATCGTTCCCACCGCGATCAGAAATGCTCGCAGCTTCAAACGATCGCTATGTAGACCGGATGTACATCGCATAATCGTTTGAATGAATGTTAAGAAGCTGTCAAACAGTCGCGGATGTTTCCCCTCGGCTCGCGGAATACTAATCTCTTTCTCTTTTTTTCTTTTTTATTTATACAAAAAGGATTTTTGAACTTCCGACGAAGAGGTAATGCCTCATTGATGAGTTTACGCACGCGTACATGCGTGTATATCCCTTTGAAATGCCGCGTCGTGTCCCTAATCTTGATATAAAATTCCATTCGACGAGTCAACCGATAGACATACTTTGAAACGTTACTCCACAGACGGTAGTGAGAAACGCGAAACGGTCAGGAACGCCATCTACTAAACAGTATATTACAGTTCCTGTAGCAGCCGCCGCGATGAACCTTTCGTCATTGGTGCCTGTAATGATTTCACTTGGGAGCTATCAGCACCTGGTAAACTTCTGAGAACTCTCTTACCGTATAGGGCCCTACATTAACGACACCCTATAGAACTAGCTTGTCGCGCCACGCGCTGAATCGAGACTTTACTGCAGCTATAATAATTTATTATAATATAATAAACGTGTTTCATATGCAGGTACAGACATTGCAAAAGAGTATAATTTATATGAAACGTAAATTATTTGAATTTATAATATCGAGGAATTTCCTGTTCGGACATATCAACGAAAGATAACAAGTCTGTTAGTTCGATTATATCATGGTGATGTCTCTGACTACATTCGCAATTACATCTACGACAAAATGCGCCTTGGAATGTGCTAAAATGAGGCAATCAGTATAAAAACGAAACGACTTTAGTCCTATTAATTTTATGTAATTGCCGCGTCTTTCATTTTCATTCGCGACGGCTCGTCGGGCTATTTTTGTTGCACGCCTCGAGAATGTCAGATAAGAATGTTCGCAGTAACTCGACCAGTTGTCTGGAAATTTTCGCTACGGGAAAGCAGTACATAACAGGGGTTATAAAGTAGCGCAGAAAGCCGTTGTTGTTTTAGTAACATATATCCGGTAAATCGTGAGATGAGAGCAAACGTTGGCGCATCTGCTCCCGGGGGAGGCAGCAACCTGTCCGCCGCGAACAACTTCGTCGAAAGAATCCGACTCGTGCTTTCAGCGCCGTAATTACAGTCGACGCGATTCATACGGCGGTTTCGACGTCCCGGGGGGAAGTTTGCTCTGACGCGGCGTAGCGAGGATAAGAAGCCAGCCCTTGAACAAACGAGACGACCCGCAACTTCCGAGAGGTCAAAGAGTACACACCATCTACTCTCTCGCCGAGAGTTGTAACAAAGTGTAAAAAAGGAGGAGGAAAACAATCGCGTCAATCTCGCCGAGAGGTAGGTCCAGATCTTCAAATGAATTCTCTCCCTCGACAATCGGGAAGTCGCTGAAAGTCGGTCATGTGTGAAACGCGCGAGCAGTGAGACAGAATAAAAAAAAAAAGAGAGAAAAAGGAAAGATCGAATTTAGTCTCCTTGCAACAGATCGTTTCTATGATTTCATCGGAACAAGAGGAAAGGAAACAAAATTAACGAAACTTTAACAATCGAGAGAAGATGATTCTTACGGAGTTGAGCCCTTCCAATTGTGAGAGGGACGAACTAACAAGCGAACAATCTACGAACCGAAAACTCTACTTGTACATAATCTCCTACTCGAATTTGTACTACCGCTTCGGCTCTTTAGTGGCTAATTTCGGAAATCCCACAACAGTTCAGCCGTAATGTCAGCTTCGAATTAGACGCGAGTCGAGACTTTGCATCGAAATATTCTGCTGCGAAGCTCTTGATTAAATATGGGGCGATGCAGCAATCTCACGGGAGGAAGCTGCGGATCTTTTAGGCGGAAGAGAACAAGAGAGAGCGAAAGAGCGAGAGAGAGAGAGAGAGAGAGAGAGAGCGAGAGAGAGAGAGTAAGGGAGAGCAAGAGAAAGAGAGAGAAGGAAAAGGGGTGACGAAGAGAAGGGTGGGAATAGGTGGCGGAAGGTCGACAGTGCGAAACCTCTGGTTTATTTCGAATCGATCGCGTGGCACGCTCGAGGGCGCTCGGGCTAATTCGGCTCGCATCGGCGATTCAAAACTGTTCGATTCGCAAAGTATTCACATCGCCCACGCCGCGCGATAAACACCACCGCGGCCGCTTCTTCCTCTCCCTTCTTTCACTCTCCCTTTCCACGAGATCGACCCTTCCACGTAAATGCGGTCAGAGATGTGCGGGGGACGGTGTTGCGTCTCCCAAGAAATTTGGATCCCTCGATCAATACCGTGCCTCCTGCGCCAGCAAGACGTCAAAGATACATCGGCTAAAATTGTTATTCTGAATTCTTGGCTCTATCTCAGCGTCTTTAAAATTCACGAGTCTCCGTTTCTCGCGTTTTCCTTACAAATATTTTCGCTCCTGAAGGTGCTCCTTTAAAAGAGAGACAGAACAAGAAGAAAATATCCTCCCGACGTGCCTCTGTATGCCGTCAAAAATTGTTACTTCGCTTGAGCAATTACGCGCTCGGAAAACGTTCCATGGAGCAATCGCATCCCCAGCGGGAAATAAAAGAAGCAAAGCGTCTTTCACAATTTAATTCTCGGAATTCGCGGAATAAGGTTCATTATGCGGAGAGAAAGGAAGGGAAGGAGGAATAAAAGACTGACTGTCCGGGCTGGTTCATCGCGGACTCAAAATAGCCGGAGCTGACTACTCAGTTCGATTCTGGTAGAACAAGGAAACGACCGACTAGAAAAGACCATGCTGCAAAGAATATCCTACGGGAATCCAATCAGAGCGGAGAGGATCCGCCAGGCATCTAACCCCCGTCGACCTCTCTTACAAATCTCGGATACCTTCGCGCTCAACGAATTCCAGGGGAGATTTACACCGGTTTCAAGAAGAATTCCTCTTTATTGAGTACAAACTGTCAGGGCGTAGGCGAAAAGAATTTTATTACGCCACCCTCCCGAATCCCTTATTGGAGCTAACCCTTTCTCTGACTCTACCCTTATATCTTGCGCCGTTAAATTCAACATATGGTGCGCGATTATATTATCCAATATACGATCCATAGGGATTAGTACGTGGACGTACACAGCATTAGAGAGAAAAATTTATGTTCCCCACGGATAAGGAAAGAAATTATTGCGGAATCGACTAGTGGATTAACGTACTTAGGGATTAATGTTACTACCAGCGAAATGGCAATAAGACTCTATATGGCTTTGATACGACTCGAGTCGGCTCGATAAAGCAGCACTGAATTTCCGATCGAGCAAATGCGCAGCAACTTCTTGATATTTATCCCTCAACAGTTTCGTTCAATTTTCTGATCGATTCGTCTCGGATAATGCTCGCCACTCCGGGCGAAGACCCACTTCGCAAGTCAGCATCCCAAATCTATATTTCCAGATTGTATTCCGTGACAACGACCCTCCCTCCATTGCCACTGAAATTGCTGGAAGTCGCCACGGCGATCGATGAAACCGACGAAAAGATTCGGTCCGCGGCGGAGACAGCGCGACGCGAGAGATCGAAGCTAGGAAAATAAAGGAATCGTAGTGCACGGATACAGCCATCGAACCTAATACTGTAATCTAACCTAGCCCCATGTAGACGTACTGCCTCTTGTATCATTGGAGGGAGAAAGAGAAAGAGAGACAGATTGTAAAGAGAAAAGAAATAAGCAATTGATAGCGACGGAGTGCTCGAGCAGTTTCGATGCGAATATAAAGAAAATACGCGGACGGAATAGCTCGATAATATTTACGCGGGCAACATGAAGAACGGGATTGAACCACGGAGAATATGTCGCGATCATATTTACGCGAGACAACGGTATTGACTACTGCGCTACGCTAAACGCAGCGAGCGCGGGATATCGAGAAGACGTAGAATAATCCGATGTGCAACGGTACGGATAATGCTCGCCAATGCATATAAGGATCGCAAACATTCCAGCGCGCGTCCCCCGTATGATAAATATAATAATACAGAGAGAGAGAGAGAGAGAGAGAGAGAGAGAGAGAGAGAAATAAAGAAAAGTTCGCGAATGCACGGTAAACCGGTCCGGCGAGCGCGCGTGATTGTTAAGCGTGGGGCTTATGAAAATATTTTATTATTTACGACCAGCAGTCCTTTTCGTACAGTGCTTTTTCTGACGGCGCCCGTTGCCGAGTATTCACCGTGCAACATCCATAATCCAAAATCGATGGCCCGCTGTTTCAATGCGAGCTTAACGCCCCGTGACCGTGGTGTTACGACGGCGGTAAGCGATGTAATCCCCGCGAATTCGCGTTTAGAGGGATCGTCAATTTGGTACGTTCTCGTTCATAAACCGAACAACGTTCAAACGATCTCCATTGGTGCTTTTCTGTTTTTCGCGATGCGGTGTACACGGCGGACGACGATCCTGTTGCGCTCGTCGAGAGAACGAAAAGATAGGACGCGAGTGAGAGAGGTGGTTAGGGAGGGAGGGAGAAAGAGAGGATGAGGTGGTAAGAGTCGGAAAGCATAAGAACGATCGCGCGATTTTTATCGACGCGAACGAGTCCATCCGAGAGGGAGGCGAAGGAGATTCCGCGTCCGCCTCGGCGATGGTGACGCTGGCCCGACAGGTAGTCCCGGAGGTCCATCGTGTCCTTCGGCACACTGGTGGCGCGACCCCGAGTGTATCGAATCGAGGATCTTCGCAGATTTTCGGAGAGCTTCGTTTGGGCTCCCGCGGGTTCTCCCGGGCGCTCGGCACCGCCGCTCAGTGTACTGCGTGGCAGCCTGGACCGCGGGTGGCCTCCAGCCACCGAGACGGAGGAAGCCCGGGACGCGGCGCGTCGACGCGGTGCCTTGCGTGCCTTCGAGAACACGAAACGAACGCGCGCGCTTGCCCGTACGGAACCGTGTGTGCACCCCTTTTGCGTGTTTTGGAACGCGCGCACAGCATCCGCTCTGCGTCAGAGCGCGCGCGGCGGCACATGGTCCGACCGTGTCCCAACCAGCATCCCCGATCTCGTCCGAGTTCGACCCTTCGCTCGAGATGGGCCGATCAGTAGCACGAGCGCGGCACGAGTGCGGCACGCAGCAGCGCAGTCTGGCTGCGGAGAAGGGGTTGTCATGATCGGTCTCGGGCTCTACGCACACCGCGTCGTCATTAGCTGACTGTCATCGACCATCAGCGAGATCGAACATGACGTCCGGGAACAGTAGTGATACCAGGGAAGAATCGTCGTCATTGTCATTGTCGTCGTTGTCATCGTCGTCGTCGTCGTCGCCGTCGTCATTATCATCGTCGTCGTCGTCGTCGTCTTTGCGATTGGCACGCGCGACTTCCTCGACTGAGTCGTAGCGGAGTGTGATTAACTGATCCGTTGTACGTGCGCTTCCACACCGATCGACGGAGATCGGCATCGATCGATCGAGCGACCGTGACGAGAGGGAGGCGAAGCGACTCGAGGCAGCGAGGGACGAACGCGTGAAACTGAGCTTTCCAAAGTGGGTCGAACCCGCGGCTCGTTTACTCTCGCTGGTCGAAGAGCCATACCATTTTCCCGTGGATGCGACCGCGGGAGATTTGCGGCGAACCGAGCGTAGATGTGCGCGAGCGCGCGCGCGCGCGCGCGCTTCTAGTTGCACGCGTGCACTTATACACGCGCGCAGCTACGATGATATCTAGCTCAAACCAACCATTGGTCCACAACGCGGTTCTTTGCTCTCGATAGCTAAAAGCGGGTAGTACACGGTGTTTGTGGCGAGAAGGGGACTCGAAACTGCGGAAAAGGGAGAGAGCGTGCCAGGAAGAAAGGGGTGAAGGGAACGACAGAAAGGGAAATAGGAAGAGACGAAGAGAAAGAGAGAGGGGAGAGGGAAATCGCTCGTGGGAGAAGTGGTAGGGAGAGTAAGAGAGACGGATACACAGAGAACGAGCGAGCAAGCGAGAAAGAGAGAGAGAGAGAGAGACCACGAGAAGAGCTGGAGAGAGTAATGATCGTGACGACGGTCGTGCGGACAAATGAACACCTCGGCACAGCATTTGGGATATTCCAAGTAAGTAGCAGTGCGTAACGCCAACTTGCATTGTGAACGGAAACGTTCGCCTTGATATATCCGCGTAACTTTAGCCTTAAGCGCGTTTATTTCGGAGATGGAATTAGTTTGCTACGTGGGTCGAGGGAAGAGAGAACTCTCGTTGCCACAAGAGAATAAGGCTGCTCGGAGCGCGAGATTCCGTAGCTCGACCTCAACGAGTCTTTTCAACCGAATCAAAAATAGAGAGATCGATACGTCTCGTCTATCTGACATACCAAATACGCTGAGAGAGAAAGAGAGGAGGGGGAGGAGGAGGGGGGGAAAGCTGGCAGGAAGAAACTTTGGAAGGGAAAAATTTGTGAAAGGATTTTCAACAAACTTTTTAATCGCAACGTCCCACGGCCGCTTGACGTACGCTGTCCTCTTTTTTTTATGTTTTCTGTTTTACGCCGCCGATTTACGTTCGAGGAATTTTATCGCTGGTCATTTTTCAAGTCTAGCTCGTCGATGGGGATCACACTGGCTGGTAATGGATGCATGCACGTTGCCTAAGCCAGCACATTTGGCGCGAAATCCAACACGCGGTTGGCATCGAACTGACCAATCGTGCTGCTCCGCGTACACGGTGGATCGCGCTTAACGATAGCTTTCACGCCAAAACTCCCGGAAAAAATCCGTCCCGTCGCGAATAAAAACAAGAGAAAGAGACCCGCTCGCGTTTGCTGGCGGGATATTAATCGCCGCTGAAATGAGTCCGTTTTAATTTATTCAATGAATTTGTGAACCGGAACGCATTTAATTGCTCGGCGCGCACCAATTGTCCCGTTATAACTCAGGGAGAAGGAACTTTTTCTATTTCACTTTCAAATTACGTTTGGAACGGACGGTACGTTGTCGATACAGTTGAGGGATATGACCTCGCCCGATTTTTCACAATTTGCAGAAGCGACCGGTCGCGGAAAATCCGACGCATTTGCGAAACTGCGATCGCGTTACGTACGTTTATCCGCTTTCGAGAAGTAATTTCTGTGCTCACATTCGCGCGACGCACCTTCGTTTATCGCGTTCCTCTACATCGTCTCTTCGTTCCCCCGGGATCGAGATCGTCAGTCCCGAGGTCGCATTTTTCAATTTTCCTCTTTAATTAAAGCCAGTTGGAAACCGGCCGCGAAAAAGATCGGGGACCGATCAATCTTCGCAGATCATACCGCTGTTCGCAATACCGCGAGATGGATTACATTCGACTCAAAATTTGTAGTGCTTCTTCGGGATGGGTCGTATACCGCGATGTATAACATTAGCATTTATATGGGCGCCGGCGAGATTCCGCGCGAGTAGTTCGGAAGCGAAATCCGAACGGATCCGACGGAAGAGAGGTGTCGCGAGCAGAAGCGAACGAGCAAAAAGACGATAAAGGCGGGGGCAAATTCCACATGGCTGCGACGAGTCAACATATTTTTCAGCGTCATCCTGGAATCAACGTCGTTCTCGTCCTCGTCGCCGTCGTCGTCGGTCGTCGTCGTCGTCGTCGTCGTTGAAGCGGCACGTATTGAGCGTAAGATGGGGGTGCGAGGCGACATTTTTCAAGGCACGTCACCCGTCACACGGGAAGGTTGCATGAAAATTTGATTCCGCGCCCGGTATCATCGACTTATCATCGCGAGAGTGAACAACAGCACATTCCTCGCAAGCAAATTCTCCGGGCGGACAATTTTCTATTTTGAGACACTCCGCCGCGCGGCGGAGCGACGGGGACGACGAGAGGATGCCGCGGCGGCGCCTGTAATTTTACCAAAGATACATCGTCCGCGTCCAGGGGCGATATACAGCATTTATATTAGCATTTATATAAGGGTAGAGTAACTACGCTTCTCCGCGGGTCTGTACGTGCTCGGAGCGAAAAAGAACGAGGGCAAAATCCACGCCATAAGATAAAAGTGTTCCTCCCGCGGCCGGTTCGTGGGATACATCCCGTGGTCGTTTCGCAGGGGCACGGAAAATTAACAATTCAGAGTCACAGTTACATATCCTTAACGTTCAGCCGGGGATGCATAAAGTTGGAAACATTTTGCATAAGATGCCCGGTTACAAATGTGAAATTAGGGATATTTATTCAAGCAACGGCGAAGCAATAACTCCACGGATTCTACAGCCTCGCCGGGTGTGGAAACAAAGGTTAGAGACGTGAATGGCGGCTACCAGGAAGAGGGTGGCGGTGGGTAGTAGTGCAGTGGTCGTAGTAGTATTAGGTAGGTGGGTAGCTAGGTAGGTAGGTAGGTAGGTACGTAGGTAAGTAGGTAGGTAGGTAGGTAGGTAGGTAGGTAGGTAGGTAGGTAGGTAGGTAGGTAGGCAGGCAGGCAGGCAGGCAGGCAGGCAGGCAGGCAGGCAGGCAGGCAGGTAGGTAGGTAGGTAGGTACGTAGGTAGGTAGGTAGGTATGTATGTAGGTAATAGAGGACGAAGGAAGGAAGAGAACGAGCAAGGTGCAAAGATGCAAAGGGTCGGAAACGTGGGTTACAAACAGCAGAGCACACAATTAAGCGGCCACCAGAGCATGGCCAAAGTTCTCTCGGAAAGAGATTATCGCCTAATTATCAGTTTGCAAAAGGCGTCCTAAAATTACAACCGCACTGGATTACCACGGCAGTTATCCTCGCGGTAGACAGAATAGCTGTTTCTCTCTGTCTCGCTGGCGCGGCAAACGAGCGAACGGACGTGCGAACGAACAAGCGAACGAACGAGAATATAAGCGAGTGTGTACATACGTGTGTTTTCGGCATGGTAAGGCGCGCGCCGTCCTACAGTGCATTATATTAACGTGTGCACAGACGCGGTTAGACCGTGGCTCTGTTTCCACCCTCGCAGAAAGCAGGAGAAGGTGATGACGAGATCCAGACGGGCGCGAGTTGCAGAAAGGGGTTACCGCGCCGCGAGGCGTGCAACGTTACTTTATTGCTCGCATCAAAGGCAATCATGCCGCACCTCCTCTCCCGCGCGCCTCCGCTTCTCCGCCACCCGCCCCGTCAACCCCGTTTTCCTAGCGCGGTACTTTGACGGTCGCGAGCACATCACAGGCGTCTGTAGCGTGCACCCGTGAATGCGTTTTCGCGGTTCCGCATCGATGGTGAAACTGCTGACACGCCCGTAAAACGGGTTCACCGCGGCACGGCGACTGGTCCGCGCTCCGCTTCCGCTTCTCTTACTTCCGATGCGTTCTCTTCCGTACGAACGAACCCGCGCGACAAGACAGCTCCTGACAGGACGACGTGGACACGGTGGACAACGTCTGACGCGGCCAAGACCCTAGTGCCCGCAACAAGCTCATAAGGAAATAAAAAGTTCCGGACGTTCTTCCGCCGAGTAGATGGCCGAGTCGTGGGACTTCCGCGCGCATATTTCATCTCCGAGAAGCATATTTTATCGAAGACGACCGTAAGTTATTCGAAAGTTTGGCCGGCAAGTTTTATCCTTCGAAAATAAATCGCAAAAGACAAATCCGCGTCTCTCCCTCGTCCTCGCCGCTCCATCCAACTCCTGGGGAGTTTGGCGCGTGTAAACGAGATTCCCGATAATTATAAAAGTCACGAAGAGTTTCGCGGGCACGGGAGAGAGAGAGAAAGAGAGAGAGCTCCCTCGCGAGGAAAAATTGCACAGGGTAGAGCGCCACTAGAACCCTAACCCGAGGAAACAATCTGCACCTCTCTCTTCCTCTCCCTTCTCCTACATAAATACAGGCGCGGAGAGACACAGAGAAAGGGCGGGACTCCATCTCCGCAATCAATTAAAAGCACGGGTAAGGCGATACTGCTCACGAGATGATATCGTCGCGACGCCTTCTCCTCGGAGGATCCTCTTCTCCTTGGATCCTCCGTTTTCCGGTCCTCTCCGAAACTTACCTACCCTCGTGTGCGAATTATCGGCCCGGACTCGTCCTTTTTCTTTCCCATTTTCTCCGACAGGATTATCGGGAAGTGAGAGACAAAAAGAGAAAGAAAGAGAGCAAAAGAGAGGGAAAGAGGAAAAGACTTTCCCGAAACAACCACGCTTAACGCTCTCAACCCTCTTTCTCCTCTTGCCGCCCGTTTAATTTACTTCATCGGCTTCCAGCCGCGGCTATCAGTTCTCTAAATCAAATAACATAATTTCGCTAAGGCTACCACCGGTAAAAGGACCGACCACGAGCCCGTTTCCTCGGGCCCGGCAAAATCCCGCGGCCGAATTTATGGGACTTCGTGGCCGCGACGTTCACGTGTGGCTCCACACCGCACGCCCCCGATCCACATGTGTGCGCACACAGATCCCACATACGTGGGTAGTAACGGCGGGTTGCGAGGGTGAAATAAAGTAACACTCCTGGCACTGGCGGGGATGGTCGTACTACCGCGGCGACTTGTACTCACGATAAATTCCCCTCGGCTTTAGCGGTGTCGCAGCCGCGCCCGCGCGCGACCGCGGAACGCTATTTTCAATCCTTTACAAGTAACAGAGAACTGATGAAGAAACAATAGCGATATTTCAAGACGACGAGCGACGAAAGATTTCGGCTAACTACAATACCGCCGTGTCGTGTGCGCGACGCAGTAATACGCGAGAAACTTGGCTCGCTTATTTATACTCGTTCCATTGCGGTGCAAACAAAAGCCTTTTACAACAAACCAGTAACTCGTAATTGAATTACATAATGGATCGACGTAATAGCGCGATATTTACAATCGTTTCTATGCGTTGTAAACTTTTGAACTGTGAGCAAATCGAAAAATCTGTGTGCGCGCTTGTCTGGAACAGAATTTTGCATGACAATTGCGATATCGATATATTAAAATCTCATCTGTTCTCTTTTTTTGCGAATATATCGTTATCATCGCGACGTGCAACTCGATTGCCCGTGCAAAAATACAAGTCTGATCCGAAAAAACAGACACAATGCGCCGAACATTCGGGAAAGGTCCACAAGTAAAGTCGTAACAGGCGCGGTAATTAAATTCCGAAATGGATTGCCACGCGTCCCTATTGAAACAAA